ATCAGAGGAGAAAAATGGGGCGTTCTCTTCCCTCAAAGAGTTAGTTTACAGGGGCAGTTCTACCCTCTCCTATAAGGACGCGATGAGTCAGCATAGACTTGATGACAATGGGATTTTTTTTTCCAGTAGCACATCAAGCCCGAGTCTGGAGAGGACTAGGAAAGAGCGCAAACATTGGTGATGTCAGATAGATCTTAACTTAAAGCAGAGGTATCGCTTTAAGTTTACTTTTGTTTTCATACCTGAGCAAAGACATTCAATGATGTGGATCATTACAAATTGTGGCTAACATTGCGAAAGATGGGAATTCCAGAACACTTGATTGTGCTCCTGATGAACCTCTGTATTGATTACGAGGCAATCATTTTAACAGAACAAGGGGTTTCTGTGTGGTTAAAAATCAGGAAAATTTTGTGTCAGGGTTGTATCACATGACTATATTTACGTAATCTCTTTGCTGAGCATGTAATTGGAGAAAGTGGAATTTGTGAAGAAGAGCGAGGCATCAAGATGGGAGGTGGATTCAGTAACAACCTGTGACACCGGTGACATCAACTGGCTTGTTCAAAAGCTAGGCGACCCGAAGAACTTTCAGTGGAAGAGAAAGAGGACAACTTTCAGTAGGGATAGGACCTCAACATAAAAGAAAACATCTTCAAAGATGTACCAAAAATGATATCACAATAAACAGAAACTATTGAGTGTTCATTCTGTTGTACACACGTGGTCGCCTTGAGCTGGGATTGAATTGCTGGCACCTACAACAATGACTCCAAAAGGCATTGCTATTAACAACGGCTCCCTCCTCATTGAGAGTTCCTTAGAGTGTACTTGCGGTTGTGTTGTGTGCTAGGATCCCACACAGATACCACATTACATGTTGCGTCACACCTCGGCCGGCTCCTCTTAGCTGGGAGTATAGCAGCCTTTCCTAATTATTGGTGACCTTCAGAGATTTGAGGGGGAATGGGCAAGCATTTTACAGAGTGCTTCTCAAATGTTATTTTCCTCATACTTTTCTCATGATGAATCAGCAGTTACGGAATTTTAGGAGAAAGATGGGACAGCTGAAGTAATAGCCTAATCCCAGACTCGTGTGCTTCTTCCATGTGGACTTAGATGACACCTCATTTAGATGACTGCTTGTTTGACGTCAAGCCTTTAAGACCCTACATCAGGGGCGCGCAATACTTCAATCTCGATATGCTAGATGATCGCAAATGTAGTGTGGGTAGATCACATGGCATTAAAAAAAAAAATAGACCAAAGCCTACCATCAGTCCCGTCACTTAATTGATATACAGCGCAGCCAATCAGATGCAATCTTAGGTGTCAAATGCATGCGCAAACAACTGGGCTAGTTGCAGCAAAACTGACAAGCTAAATTATCGCCAATTTTTAGACCTTGTTTTTCTTTTTTCTCTTAAATGTAAGAAAGGGTATTAAAATGAGTGGGGGAGCTGGAGCAAGTAAGATGACAGAAACGTATCACTTTCATACGGCATGGGAGATTTTGACACTACAAGCCGACATTCAGCTGAAGTCCAGAGCGCATGAACAGTTCTGGAACTTACTCGCAGAGGGAAAGTACCCAAACGTGAGAAAATGTGCTACCCCCTTGACTGCATTATTTGGCTCTACTTATTTATGGGAGTCAGCCTTTTCCCACATAAAGATCATTAAGCCCAAGTACCGTTCCACCATGACTGGTGATCATTTGGAAGTGTGTTTGAGACTGGCTGTCAGCAGTGACTGTCCGGACTATGCCGCCTTGGGTCATTCCATTCAGTTCAAGTCATCAGAATAAACTCAGATAATGACAAAAAATGTACATAGTTCATTGTGTTGTATTGTGCAAGATGGACTCAAGGTACATAAACATACAGTTTACATATAAAGAATTCTCAATACATTTATAGATAAATGTAATAAATAATAAAAATAGACATGTTTTACATTTTTGTAGTTGGTAGATCATTTTGACTTGACCATTATATAAGTAGCCAGCATACTGAAAAAGTGTGAGTACCCCTGCCCTCGATGCTATTCTTTCTAATAGCTGGGCATTATCTGACTTCTTCATCACACTTTGCACCCATATCTTCTGTGATCTCTTCATGAGGGCGAGTATCAGGTAGTGCCATGTCATAGGCTAATTGTTCCTGGATTAGGGATATAATTAAGTGAAAGCCCCAAATCCATTCATATATATATGATTGATATGTGTCTCTGGTTTGCTCCAGAGACATCATGGTCATTTTACGATGGAGAACATTATAAATCACCCTCCACCCCCACCCCCGACCCCCCGGGGCATAGGATGGTTCTGTTTATAATGCCATCAATTTACCAAATGCTACAAAATTTAAAACGCTGTTGACAACATATACAGGCCAGTGTTTCAGACTGCAATACATGGATTGTTGACTTGTACTTAATAAACTCTTAAGTAAATAAACACTATTTACACGGACAATGGGGCTTAGTGATAGGACAACATTTCAACATTTTCTTTTTTTTTTTTTTTTCTTTTTCATTTCAACATTTTCAATGAGACTCGCGTATAGAGGCAGAACAATGACTACCAGACGAATACATCATCAGCATCTGATGTTGATTTCCATCATCACCTGGCTGAGGTCCTATATAACAAGTTTCTCTTTTGTAAAGTTGCTCCTTTTTTCTTCCTTTCCCAAATGGAACTATTTGTAAGAAAGTCACTATGGGTAGCTTGTTCTTAAAAGTTGAACAGTTATCTTCCAGTTCCTCGAGGGGACAGTCAGTTTCTACATAATTCCTTAGAAATTCTTCTGCACAAGACATTTGGTCCTTTACCTACATTTAAGTAATCCTTTACCAGATTCAGCTGTTTCTCCAGAGTCCTGGTTCCTTTTATTGTTGAATGGCAATAGAAACCAAGGTCTGGACCCTAGGTGAAGACCACTGTTATTACAAAGCACAACAAAAAATATTGATCCTCCTTGTTCCATACCTGAATGCAGTTGCTATCACAATGAAGATTATATATTTCAAATTTCGTTTGGTGGGAGACATTGTCATTTAATTGTCTTCTGGTGCAAAATAGCATAGCAACTATTAAAGAATGTGATTTCAGTTGTTTTTCCCTCTGACTGTTGGGTGTTTTTTTTTTTCGTCTTGTCTCTTTTTTTTTTTTTAAAGGAATTGAGTGTTTAGAAAATAAAACCCTAAAGAAAGAAAGGGTGACTTACTTCTCTCTAGACTTATTGGCGAGCCACCTGGTAATTCAACCAGAAATGGCAGGGTGTGTCTAAGTCTAGGAGGAACTGTCTTTATTCAACTGGAGTTCCCAAAGAATTCTGCGATCACTGCAGACACATGAGGTCTGATGGCGGAAAAATGAGAAGATTGCAACACAGGAAAAATGACACACAAATACCATTATCCAACTAAATATCCACCTTGTATTTTTATGATATACGTATGAAGAAGGCTTATTAACAATCTGTGATATGCAGATGATACAACTTTTCTGACTGAAAGCCAGGAAGACTTGAAGCACTTTCTGATGAAGATAAAGGATTACAGTCTTCAGTGTGGATTACAACTCAATGTAAAGAAAACTCAAATCCCCATAACTGGACCAATGGGTATCATAGTGATAAATGGAGCAAAGATGGTCAAGGGGTTCAGCTTTCCTGGATCCACAATCAATAGTTGTGGAAACAGCAATCAGAGGACGCACTGCGCTGGGTGAATCTGCTGCACAAGACCTCTTTCAAGTTTTCAGAAGCAAGGATGTTACTTTGAGGATTAAATGTGCCTGGCTCAAGCCATGGTATTTTCCATTGCCTCATATGCACATGAAAATTGGACATGGAATGAGGACTGATGAAAAATTGATGCCTTTGAACTACAGTGTTGGCAGAGAATGTTGAAAGTACCATGGACTATCAAAAGAAGAAACAAATCTGTCTTGGAAGAAGTATATCCAGGATGCTCCTTCGAAGGAAGAATGTGGACACTTCGTCTCATGTGCTTTGGACATGTTAATCAGGAGAGTCCAGTTCCCAGAAAAGCATATCGTGGTTTTTAAAGTGGAAGGACAGCTAAAAAGAGGAAGGACCTTGGCCAGGTGGATTGACACAGTGGCTGCAACAATGGGTTCAAACATGGGAGCAATTTGGGGACCGTGCAGGACCCAGTGGCGTTTGGTCCTGTTGTTCCTAGGGACTTGAGTCTGAGCCAATTCAATGGCCCCGAATAACAAAAACATCAATGAAGAGGGATCTCTTTTAAAATTAGGAATGGTTTTTTTATAGTCAGTCATGTATTCCATCCAATATCTGGACTTTAAATGGTTTTAAAACAACAGGTCCAGGCTATACTAACTCAGGTTTCCCAAAATTCCAAGCAACTAGGATTGATAGTTTCCCAAATTGTACCAAAAATTAGGCGATGTGGTGCTAACTTGCTCTTGAAAAGGGCAGTTTCCTTGTGCCCACTTTACATGCAGAACAAATATCATCTTAGGTCCTGTACTTGTTCTTCTTTCTATGTAACCCTCTGGTTCCAGACTCCTAATACTTTACCCCAATTTAAATACTCTGAAATGCCATAGATCCTCAGCGATAGACAGAATGGCTGAAGACGGGGAAACAGCACTTAGGCTACTCATAAAAACCAACATCCACCCAGGTCTAAAGAATACTGCAGTTCAGAACCAAGTCTCTCTTGGGAATTGAAAGGAACTTATTCCTGGTCCTGTTAGCACAGCTAAGCCAATACCCTCACAACATTTTCTTGGCGTCTCTCAGTTGGATCCTTTTGAACTTACTGATCCAATCAAAGATGGGCTGGCTCAGAGCTGGATGGTGTCATTTATTGGGCTCTAACAGACAAGTTGCTGGAGGCTGATTTTCTTCAAGCGCCACCTCGTCCTTTCTCATGGACACAGGTTAGGATTCAGAGGAAGCTCTCTTTCATCCATATGGGCAGAGACTAAAGACAGCAGTCACAAATCAGTAGAAAAAAATAACTTCTCTTTATTTACACACAAAAAATCCAAATATTGGATGCTGTAAACAAAATTCACAATCTGTTCCCTCTAGCATTGATTCAACATGTCAGTTTTTAAGAGTCTCTTTTCCATCAACTCCTTTTCTGCCTGTGACACAGTTTATAATCGAACTATTCCAAGAGTGACCCAGGTGCACCTTGCTGCAGTAGGATGCCTCACGGTAGGCAGCAGTTGTGGAGAGGTGGGAGGGAGGGAGGGGCCAGCCAGCAGGCAGCGCTTCCTCCATTCTGCAAGGCTTTGCAGCAAGTCTTGTCAAGTTCCCTTGACATCTTTAGACTTTGTGATTTTTACCATTTACTTTGCTAGCAAGCCATTATTTCAACATTACAGAGAGATTCTTTCTTAGCACTAAAAAGGCTATGCTAAAAGGAACCTTAAAGAAAGATTATATCCAAATAGGTGCTATATATGAAATTACTTTTTTTTGGCTTTTTGGTTTAATCTAATACACTTCATCTTCAATGATAACAAAAAACAAAGCTTATTTTTGAACTGCTGACAGCTTTCAACATAATACATTTCATTTACTAGAGTTCACAATATTCATATAACAAGAAATGCACTGAAAACTTTATGCACAGGAAAGCAACCGAGGATAAGCAAACAGAGAGGGTTGGTAAAAACAGTATATTCTCTTTTTGTTTCACTTCCTTTTTGGCTTGGATTGCAGATATTCTTTCATCATTGCTTTTTGGGTTTGGGCGCCACATTGAAATAGTCCATCTGGTACCAGACTGAGCAAATCCTTCATCCCATTCCTAGAAGGGACAAGTCCACCCTGGTGAAGAATTCTTGAGGCAGTCTGACTTATTGTAACTGAAGTAAACTTTCCAAAAGGGCATCCATCGTCTCATGTTAAATGTTCTCTGACATGCCAGTCTGGACAGGAAAGGAGAAGAGCTTCCAGAAGATAAAACTTCTTCCTGTTTTAAAGTAACAGCACCAAACCAAAGAAAACCCACTGCTGTTGATTCTGACTCATGGTGACCAAGTAGGACAGAGGAGAACTGCCTCCCCCTTGGGTTTCCAAGACTGTAAATCTTTACAGAAGCAGACTGCTTGCTACAGCTTTCTCCCCAAGGGTTGCTAGTGGGTTCGAACCATCAACATTTTAGTTAGCAGCCAGACACTTTAACAAGTGCACCACTAGGGCTCCTTAGTAACGTCACACTAGGTCAGAAAACCACAAAAGCAAGCAAATCACAGGCACAAATAAGGAGTTGCGAGCTCGTCTTTTCTCTGACCTATATACTTTGTGCTCTCTTGCCAGACATTCAAATTTTTAGGCCACACAGCAATAGAAGGAGACATATATTCCACTGTTTGTTCAACTATATAGGCACAAGACTACAGTACATACGCAAGAGAAATAAATTATACAGGTCTTAAAGTAAATGCTGAAAAGTTGTCTTGAGTACAGCCTGTTCTATCTGATTGCCAGGTGTTGGCACTTAGAATTATGCCACCAACTCCGGAGTAAGCACGGACATAAATATCTGAGAAAATACATGGAAAGTATATTTAAAAATAAGGCTCTTTCATGCAAAAATCTGTCATATAGGAACAACAGGTTGTTGCTATGGCAGAGTTAGAGACCTCCAGACGCTTTCAAAGGAATGGACAACTCAGTTGTTAAGTTAGGATGCAAAGGAAGAAATGAGCACCAGCTGCCCCCATGCTCCTGGGCCTGCCCTTCATCGGCTGTCAGGAAACTTCCCAACACAGAAGCCGGCAGAGGGCTGGTTTCTGACAGGTGAGTTGTAGGCCTAATCTGCAAATGTTTCCTGGGAATTCACAATGAACTTCAAGCCCAGGGCCCTGGAGTGAGGGAGACTCAGCCCACCTGGGAGTAGGAAGAATCCCCTAGGAAACAGTGAGTGGCGGTAGCTGTTACAACTCAGACAGAATTCACAGGAAGCGGCCAAGGCAAATCCATCAGTTTTCCATTAAAGCCTCAAAGACAGAAACACAAAAGGTAGACCAGATGGATTGACCTCGCACTGTGCATCTGAGAGATGCCCAGAAAACAAAGAAGCAAAAATATTATACTGCCAATAGGACAACAATATTTTCTTCCCCAATCCATCCTAACGATGAAGAAATACTAAGGTTGGCTTTTCTGAGGAATTAGCAAAGTAAACAAATGGTCATCCACTAGGGGTGGTGGGGCTGATGTGGCTGCCTCACCAGACAAAGATAAGGCTGGTTTTGTCTTTAATAAATGCATCTTCAGAGACCCCAGTGACTAGAGAGAGGCTGGGAGATGGGTTGGTTTTAAGTTTAGCTGTCATTGAACTAAAATAGTAATGCCGGTTCACTTCACAAAGGCCTAACTGGTCTCTTGGGAAAGAAAAGAAAGTTCTTTATTTTAATGCAAAGTGATTTAATTTAAAGTACAGTACAAAATATTTAAATGCAGTGTGACAACCAGATCAAAGATATTTCATCTTGGCATGGATTTATAAAATTTTATATATAATATATATTTCATATATAAATTTTAAGCAATTGTGCAAATACTCTTTAAAAAGGGTCATTTCACATTTTAATTCTAGTGGTCCTGGAATGCAGAATGCATTCATTTAAAAACTCATTAAGTAGTAGTAAGTAGTGTTCAGATCACCAGAAAATACAAACACTTTTTTAGCAGTCAGGGATTTAAATAGCCTATCACTGATCCATTATCCACTGGATTATATACCATGGAGGTAAGCATTTTAAAAAATGGTTCAAACCTGTCAAATGATAGCTCAGTTTAAAAAAAGAATGCTCTGCCAAACAAATATTCTCCCATTTGTGGAAAACCCTGGTACACGCAAGCACACGCACATGCACACACGCACACACACACACACACATACAAGGGTTGGTTGGGTGGGAGTGGGGACACCTCATTAAAAATGTATACTCTCTGTTTTTTCTATCAAATATATTACTTGTTTCCCTTCTTTAATTTTTTAGATGTGGGTTTTAATTAATCACTGCAATATGCCCACGTCTCATGTCATCCTATTGAAAATATAAAAGCACACAGAATTTAAACATCTATTTACTACATGATTCTAAACCATAGTCAATGTACATGTGTATATATATACATATACCATGTATGTACATACACATAATATACACACACAAACACATACACAAGTACCTCTAATAATATCACACTAACAATGTTAACTTTATACAAGTATTTGCCAAGAAAAAAATAGGGCATTTCCTCCACCATTCACAAGCTTATGGTTTTTTTCTTCTTGGGTCCCTGATAAAATAAAGTAATAATTAAACCAAAAAATAATTTTCCATTTCAATTTTTCAGAAGGCAACAGGCACTTTGATGTATAATGGTGTGTAACAAATATAGTGACTCTTTATATATGCTATTATATCTCTTCGACTTGGGTATTTTTATCTGTTAAATCTTTGGTCCTTGAGCATACTTTCTTTGCTACAGCTGTTTCTGTTTGCATTTTCCCATTTTAAAAATGCGAGCTATGCACGCAGCTGGAAATAATGGATTGTGTCATCCTAAATTCTGCTGTTTGTTATGAGAGCTGCACCAACCTACTACTGTTTATTTGGAGCAAGCTGTTTCCGTAAGCGAAATCAGATCATTCCATAGAAAGAACTTGCTATAATAAGCCCCCGATTAGAAAGAACTGTTTGAGGACCCCTTCTTCATCCATTGTGACTATCTGAACTCCCAAACTGGTCAATCACTTAGCGTGAGACCCGTTTTCTGTTTTTGTTTGTGAATTGCATTCTAGGAGAATCGGTCTTCCTTTTTTTCTTTTCTTTTTTTTGGTCCCTCTCCCTATGGCAAGCTATGGGGCAGGCACTGACTGCAAACCCATATTGTCATCAAGCATTTTACTCTTGTTATTTTAGGAGAGCCTGGTTACTTTAATGACAGGTCTCGTGTATTCCAAGATAGAATCCAAATGGGTAAGAGGATAAGGTGGGAGGGTTTGGGGGAGGTAGGGGTCGTTATTTCTAGAACACGCTCCCATAGCTATTAAAAAATCCACAACCTTTGCCAAACTTAAAACCAGGAGCAGATCATCATTACACAAAAGACGCCCTCAATCAGGGCTGGGTCACTCTTTTTCTCCCCCCACCCCCAATCTTGTCTAAAATGGCTTCCCCACGGGCATCTTTAAATGATCCTTAGTTACATGGTAGCCAAGTAGAGTATGTCTGTTGCTGGCATGTGAATACTGGCTGAACCTGTGCAATGTAATAATTGCTAAAGTTGGCATCTGCCACATAGGGGGCCGGTTGGTAATAGCAAGTAACGTTGGCCACATTAGGGATGACGTTTTGCTCCGCTAGCACCCGGATAGCCAGCATCGTGATAAGGTTTAAAGTCTGTCTTCTCTCATGGCCCATCAGGCACACCGTACTCTCATTCACAACCTCATGAAGGGTCATGAGATAGTCGTACTTTCGATCCTCCAGTCCCACGAAATGGTTCTGCAAATACGACTCTAGTTTCCTCCGCTGCTCCCCGATGTCGGAGAAGTCGATGAAAAACCTGGAACACATATACCTCTGAAGGGTCTTGATCTCATCCGAGGCAGGCCGAAAACCCCTCACTAAGAGGTTACAGTACTTGAGCAGGCCCCCCCCTCTGATTTCCTCAGGGTTTCTGGTGGCAATGATCTTGTTACAAAGGTGGTCAAAGGCTTCTTGGAAATCCCCGTAGACGCTCTCACCAATGATAGTAGGGTGGAAAGTTTCACTCATTGGGTTCTCTGAACAGTCATAAAAGAGGAGAAGAGAGTCTAATTTGATTTGAAAAGAATCTACACTGAATTCAAACTGCCTCCGGAGAGAATCCACAAATTTCAGTTCCACATTTTTGCCACTGTTGTTTGACAGGGAGATAAGACTCCAGCGGTCGGAGTCGTTGCACACTTTAACCATTTTCTGCACATAAGCCTCCTACAATTAAGAGACAAAAGAAGGTGATGAGCTTGAGTATAGAAAACAAATAAATGCCACACAGCTTAGAATTATTTTGCTGTTTCCCCTTTTGTTTTGTCGAGTTTCTGCAAAACACTACCTACTGGCTTAAATAGTCTTCCGAAGACAGAAAGAAAGGGGGGGGAAATTTTAACGAGTAGTTTTACTGTCTGGGAAAGAGACAAGAAGTAATAGTTTGAGGCTTTTGGCAGACATAGCACAGCGCTGAACGGTTCTGCTGTCATGTCTGATTTTAAAAAATTATTTCTCGACAGCGGTTTAGGGGCACACTGCTCACACAAGGCACAGCAGGGCATGGTGGAAAGTGAGACGGCCTCTCACCCCTTTCCCCCTCCCCCGCAGGCAGCCACTGTTGCCTGTCCTTCCCGGAGCACCATCTGCACTGACAAATACTAACTAAATGATGGCGGCACTCTGGGAGGACGTCCGCGGATCATTTTAAGTCATTAGGAAAACTCCTCTTAAACCCTTGGGATGAGGGCGGGTGGGGGTGGGGGGAGATAACCTTAACACATGGACAGGAAGGAAATCACTATGCATATCTTTGACACCAGGAGCCATCAGCAGAACACCTCTAAGAGCTCTCTTCAGGCTTTCCAATAATACAGTAATCAACTCATTGACTTCGGTTCTGCTTCAAGCTTCTGTTTTTCCCAAAGATTAGATCATAAGATGACTCAAAAGAATTATGGACACAGTTCATTCTACCATGTATCAGAACCATTCTGGACAAGACTTCAGCCAGGAGAGCTGAGAGCAACTACATAAATAAATAAACAACTGGGGAGGGACAGAGCAGGGAGGGCACGGAGGAGGAAGCGGAGAAGAGTTGCGACGCTGAAGCCCCAAGCAAAGGCGAACAAGCAACACTGTCCACGCACCTTATTCTACCAGGCGCCTTCTGTAGGCATAAAAAGGCAGTGTCCCGGGGCCCTCTACCCGCCGCCCTCCCTATCCGCTTCTCCGGGTCCGGTTCTCCGGGTCCGGTTCGGTTTGGCCCCGCTCGGGACCCCAGGCACGAGCTTTACCTTCAGCGTGAGTGGTGTGATCTTCTCTTTGTTCACCCCTTCGGGTAAGAAGTCCAAGAGACAGTCCAGCACGACGTCCTTCACAGTCTGAAACTCCTCTTCCCCTCGCAGGTCGGCGAAGAAGATAAGGTCTAGGTCCTTGTAGCCCAGGCCGCTATCCTGGTGCAGGACGTGGCTGGCGGCCGAGCCGTTGAGGCGCACGTCCCGCACCCCGATGCGCTGCTCGGCCAGGCGGCGCCGCACCACCTTCACGATCAGGCTGGGCTGCAGCTCCAGCGTGGGGAAGTTGCCGCGCCCGTGGATCGGGATGGTCTCGCTCAGGATGCCGTCCAGCCGCTGCACTTGCTCCCAGTTCAGTACGTTGCAGTGGGCCGTGGGGCTTTCGCAATACTCCGAGCACGGCTCGTCGAAGCCGGCCGCGCCGCCGAAGTCGCCCCCGCTTAAGTCGCCAGCCAGGGGGACGTAGGGGCCACTGCCCGCCAGGTCGTCCTCAGCCATGGCAAAGTACCCTTCGCCCTCTGCCATGAAGTGCCCGCCAAGCGTCACTTGGGCCGGCTCGGTCCTAAAAGGAAAGAGAGATAGGGACCGAGCGTTGTAAGTACGTCGCACCACGCGGGGTGGGGGGTGAGGTGGGGTGCGGGCAGGGGGCAGCAGAAGGAAGAGTGCGCCCCCTCCAGGGGTCGCCCCCCTGCCCCTGGGCACCCCTCAGAGACCCTCCCTCCTGGGGCCCCGCCACCCCCAGCCGCGCGCATCCCGCAGAGCAGCCCCGCACCAAAAGTATCTCTGATGCATCTGGAAAGCGCAAGCGGGAGTCCCGTCTGGGTCACCTGGACGCGGCCGCGCCTTCTAGGAGAGCGGAGCGGAGGAACTGCGCGGTGGCCACACTCCGGGAGCGAGGAGCGCACTCTCGGCAGCGGGGAGCCACTGGGTCCTTCCCCGAGCTTCCCCGCCTGCTCTGGCCACTCCCGCCCCGCGCCCCCGCCTGCGCAGCTGCCCCCCCCCAGCGGTGGTCCCGGAGTGGCGGCTCCCACGGACGCCGCCGCTGCACACGCACACGCACACGCTCCTGTCTCTGGAGCTTTAGCAGTTGTGTCAGGGCAACGTCCTCTGTACTTTTTTTATATGGGGCTTCTCCGCGCTTCCGGGGCCCTGGCGCGGCGCGCTCGCCACACCCTCTCATCTGCATAGGGCGCCGCCCCCTTTCTCCCTCCCCGCCGGGGCGGGCGGCCAAGCGCCCTCCGGGCTGCGACTTGTGGAAGGTCCCAGGCTTTACGCGTGAGCCTGCGTACCCGTCTGTGTGTGTGTGCGCGCGCGCGCATAGAGAGAGAGGTTTAATTCATATTTAATTGGATCCTCCCTCCCTCTCCTCCGCCTCTCTTCTCACTTCCAAGGCAGACGCACCTTTGCAATGCCCCCCCAAATCCTAAATGACCATCAAAACTGCATCATAAGTGATGATTCATAACTGAAAGTGCAGAAGTGCCCAAACTCGGGGAAAATAAAATTGTCGCCAGCGAAGGCGTCCTTAAACCCTAGTGGCAGCGCTCCCGCGTGTCCTCCCGACCGCCTCAGTCCTAAGCCTCGGTTTCCGCGTACACGCGGGAGTCCACGCACGTCAGCCGCCGTGCAGGGAAGAGGAAGGGCTGGGGGATGACTAGGTTTCGATTCTCGAAGCCTCTGGAAGCGGGGAGGCGCGAGGGGCCAGCCCGAGCCGGCACGGGGGCGGTGCCAGGCTGCGCGTCCGGTTCCCGAGCGCGAGCGGCGGCCGCAGCCCAAGCGGTGCGCGGCAGAGCGCGTCGCCGAGGACGCCGCGCGCCCCGGGCCCGGCCGGCCCAAAGCCAATCGCACCGAGGGCTGGGCGGGCCGCGCCGGGAGCGCGCTGCCGCGGAGGCCGGGCCGGGTCCCGAGCGCGGGCGGGCGAAAGTTCGCTCGCGTGCAAGCAAGTGCATTTGTCGCGTGCCGCTCAAGTTTTCATCTTTCGCGTGCACCGAACAAATCAGTGTGGAATCATTCGGTGTCCCTGGAGGCATCAAAGCGCGAGTTTGCGGCATAGCTAGAGTTGCTCTTCCCCAGCGTCGGTCGCCTGCTTTCTAAGGCCTATGCAGTCAAAGGTGTGTGATGGTTACCTCCAGTGGCCATCAAAACCAGGTCCTGACAAAAATCGCACCTCTGCATAGTTTATAAGGTTACCCTGGGGGCCCTTACACCACCTATTTTGTTGCAAAGTCCCTCTTCTCTCCCTACTGGCAAACTCTCTCCGTGGCGCGCCCACTCCGGAGGAACCCAGACTAGCTGTCCCTAAGGAAGGGGCTGCAGGAGGCTGGGGTGGGGCTACAAGGAGAGTGGAAGGGAAGTCGGCTCCGTCTTCCCAGGCGCTGTGCAACCTCGGCTACCAAGCGCAGCCGGAGGAACTTTCTGCTCCTGTGTGAATCCGGGGAGCCTCAACCTCCCCACCTAAACAGAGCAGCTCCTGGGATGAGCCCTGCTGAGCGCCTGGGGTGGCACTATGGAGCATCCAGCTGTGGGACAACGCCGCCCCCTGCCGGTGCCTACGAAGCTGTGTCCCCAAAGGAAAAAGCCAAGGGGCTCCAGCCTATGGGGGTTGGGCGAAGGAACCAAGGACAACCTCTTGCCTAGGCCTTTACAATCACCCAAGTCTTCGCTTCCATCCAACAACTTATGCACTCATCCATCTATTCAGCCAACCGCTCCAGAATTTTTTTTTTAAAGAGAGATGTTTTGATCACCTCTTATGGCAAGTACCAACCTAAATGCTGTATATGGAAGAATGACGAAGTTCACAGTCTAGTGAGCATGATAGACGTATACTTGACTATCGTTCTGTTGGAATTATGTCATCAAAGAAATATGTTCCAGCACCGGGAGGGGTCAGTTGACTAGGAGATCTGAGAACTGGGGGTAAAGTCCAAAAGAAAGGAGTCATCTGAGCTGGGTTGTGAAAGGACTTGCCTTCAAATGTTGAGGAAGAGGGAAAAGGGCTTAATGGACAAAGGGTAGAGCACGGGTATGGAAACTATGTATAACTTCACCACTGTAAGAAATGAGGTTGGCATTGCATTGGCGTCCTGTTTGTGGAGGTTCTAGGAATTAATTGAGCAATTCTAAGCCTTATGTGGCTTAGCTCTTTACTCACGATACCTCATTCACTCTTCAATTCAAGAAGGTATTACTTGTCATAGGGATTTGGAAACAGGAACGGAAGGAGTTAAGAGACTTTCCCAAGGCCCACAGTGAGTAGGTGGTGGGGCAAGACCTTCAACCAGACCTATTTGTGAATGATGTTTAGCCCTAAGATGCTTATGGCTGGAAGGGAAGTATAAATAGGAGAAAGGTTTTGTTTTGTTTTGTTTAAAAAGGAAAGGGCTAACAAATGATTTCTTCTAAAGACCAGTATGAGTTTTGCCACTTCTTAAGACGAAGTCAAAGGGAGAGATCATAGATACCCCCAAACCAAACTCACTGCCATCAAGTCAATGCTGACTCACAGCGACCCTGTATATTAGACAGAGGGCCCGGTGAATTTCTGAGACTGTAATTGTTTATGGGAGTAGAAAGCCCACTTGTCCATCGCAGTCCAATTCATAACCGTGGTGCCATCAGATCAACACGCACTAAAGAAATTTAAGGGTCTAGGCCACTGCCATTATTTAGGGAGAATGCTGGTGGAGTGGGAGAACTCTCATCTTCTACTCGACTCTGATTGTATTCCTGGTTAATGCACAACCAGCAGCTGTCATCCGTAGGAGGGAGTCCGCGTAACCCTGTGCTGTTGAATAGATTTGGGCAGAGCTTCCAGACTAAGAGAGGATGAAAACGACCACTGAAAAGCGTGTAGGTCACACCAGTCTCCAATTGATTGTGGGGATGGCTCAGCACCGGACAGTTCTTCATTTCGTTTTGCAAAGGATGAGGATGACTCAGTCGGACTCATGGGCTGCTAATAACAATAACAACAGCAGTTATTGTTTTATTGTTTTAAAAACAAATCTTGAACAAAAGAGCTAGTGAGCACCTCCGCTTCAGAGGGGTCCAGAGATTTGGTCCATGGAGCCTAAGAGAGTCTGCACATTTAAACAAGCTGCACGGATGATCCTGACACAAGGACTCCAACCATACATCCACTGAACGACTACCAGGGTAGCAGTGTTATTTATATAGGCAGGTAGAGGCTGTACTCCTGTAACTAACTGCCCTTCGGGATTTCCTAAGAGCAGAAGGCAGTGCCTAGAGGTAGAAGCAGCACTCAAGGTGAGCAAGTCTTCAGAGAGAGCCTGCTAGGCATCGGACTTAGCAACAGAACCTGATTCTTAGAAGCAAGCGTGCCGCTGTGTTTGCATTACAGGGCAAACTGGAGATCTGTTTATTAACCAGCTACTGCTAATAGAACTGCTAGCCAGCAGAATCAAAGTGCTTCATGTGAAAATTAAAATTTGCTGGGGAAAACAAATTATTTGTTTTTTTTAGGGAATGCTGCAGGTGAAACCCTCATGCTCCCTCCGGTAAATAACATGTTTATTCAGGGCCTACCAAGGCCAGAAGCAACCACACAACTTCTAGGTTAGTTGGGGATTAACAGTTCAATATCTTATTGCTTGTTGCATTGCTAGCAATCAATTCCTTAATTTTTATAGTTTATAACTAACCTCTGCACGCCCCCCTCACCATATTATTTCATCTTTATCTTGAGAATTTCTCTGACCAGTGTGGGACTCTATATTGGAAATGAAGAAAGGCTAGTTGACTCTACTTCAAGTTTATATAGTTATTCGTTTAGATAGTTTATAGGGAAAGTTAATCTTAGACTTGATGGCCCTCAATCATGGGACAGCAGCTATTTCTCTTCACCATTCTACTTCATCTTACACCTTTGAGACCATGTTTCAATAATCAGTGGCAACACAGTGGGACAACATACTCCAGCTACACAAAGGGCCATTGGTCTGAACTGCACAATCTCAGCCATGAGCACCTTGTGGAAGCATCTCTGCTCTATCGTTGAGCACCTTCTAAGTGCAGGTTACCAAGGTGGTCTTGCTAAGGGTTCTTACTTGAAATACACAGTCACCCAGTAATAACGCCATTGGCAGGTACAGATCTTTGAGCCTTGGGACATTGATAAGGAAGTTGCAATTATGGTTGCACCGGCCTACTTATTCAGCCTTAAAATCGAATCCAGTATCGATGGTCTTTCAGCAGAGGTCTTCATCAGAAAGAGTAGCCAGTTTTTGTGTGTGCTCTTATCGATGCTGGTTATGCCAGAAATTCTTCCTGTTTCGACATCTCAGCGCAATGCCTGCCGTTTCAATGTTGCAAGTCCCATGGACCAGTGTGTTTTTATTACCCCAAATAAAAGACGCATTCAGAAATTACATTCATTTGGCCAAATGTAAACCAGAGGTACACATATATTTTCAAAAACTACCAAGTATGAATAAGTAAACTGCTTTTCCCCAAAGTAATATTTGTTTTTGTTTTTTCCTCTGTAAGTCTGTGCTGGAAGAGTATTTGAATTCTGTGAAGTAAATGTTAGTGTTTGCTTGTAAAGCTTGTAGAATTTTGAGAAGGATACAGGGATGGAACATAATAAATTAGCCCTCTTTTAAAACAAATATATTTGGCTCCAAATAGCTATGTATCTTGTGAGATATAAGTTCATCTTCTTGGGCACACACAGTTCATTTGGATACATTTTTCAGTCCATTTTTCTTGTATCTAGTCATTGCATTTGTTGACCCCGGGTATCATTTATATAAGTTTTTAATATTCCAAAAAGATACTTAGACTAGTATAGCT